GGAGCGTCGCGATGATGAAATTCCGAGGTCTAGCCCAAGTCACTGCTAAGTCTTACCCTCGGTGGAATCTCTTGGGGGGAGTAATCTTCATGCTGCGGATGAGGAAAATTGTTTTGTCTCGTTGTTGACAGATTTGCAGGTCTGTCAACTCAATCCATTAGCTAGACCCTGCAACAGTTAAAATAAAAAATATCACTTCGCGGACTGACGACCTAAAAAATTAATAATCATTACGCAGAGTTGCATTTCATTCGCGGATAATCAAACCATCAATTGAACCAATTAACTTGAAATTTTTAAAATACATAAATAAATTGAAAAAGGGGGTACGGCTTGAAATATCGTGCAATACATTGTGGAGGCCTCGACTTGAATCACTCCGACATCAATAAGCGTCAAAGGCGGAATAAAGAAAAACCCGAGAGCAATTTTACTCGTTGAAATCTCATGGACTCTCTATCACTGTATAGACGTATATTGGAAAGACACTTTGGGATGAGCAAGATTGGCTGTGGACTGCCATCTCTTGGGCTCTCTGTGGACTCCCTCCGATCTTTTTACGTCTTTCCCTCCTCATCCCCTTTTTTTTTTCCTCCCTCATCCACCGTACGTATGGAAAAATGTGCGCGCGTTCTTACGAATTCTTTTCTCACCACGCACTCTAATAAATCCAAACATTTTTTCTGTCAATGTTTTTTATCCCCCCCTCGTCCCTTCTTTTTACTCCCTTATTTTCAATTGTAATGGGAATTTCGGTGGGGTGGGGGGTACACCGTGGATTCCAAGAATCCCCCACAGGAGAACCGAAACGCGAGACGATCAATTTCAAGTACTAGGGCATTTTCCTGTACTCTTTTTTCTTTCCATCGCGAGATCATTCCACGGATTGCGCTTAAACAAAGCAGATGGCATAAATAAATCGAATAGAAAACGTATAAATTGCTGGAGCGTTGGGGTGAAAGGGGGTGGGTGGGGCGGTAGGAGAACGAAGAGGGGTAAATTTTTTTTAGTCGAATTTTAAAGAAAAAAAGAAACATCGCCAGTCTCTTCTCTCGGCCTCGCAAAGACGAGAGTTGACAACGACATTCTCAGCGGTCCAATAAAGAAAAGAGTGCTTCAAGTCCTTTCCGTGCTGTCCTGTTCGTGTCCCCTGAGAACCTGTTCCCGTAGGAAGACCAGATTTATGTGCAAAACTGCCGTACCAACCTCACCCCTCAGCCCTCTCCCCTGCTTTGGACCCACCTCGTCCCTCTATCACCCCTTAGCCCCCACCCACCCCTCCTGTAGTTTCCCTTTTACTTGACGAAGAGGAACTCGACGGTCGAACCAAGGGGCTATCCCTCAGGACGCGGAAATAAACTTTATTCAACGATCGGTTCAATCTACATGTCCGTTCTCCTTATTTTTTCGATTTTTCGGATTTTTCATGGGGTCCAGGTGAAACGAAATGATGAAGGAAATTTTCTAAATTATTCAATCCTGATTTAATAATACGTCATATTGATGATGTGACTCATTATTTATGGATTTATACACTAGGGAAATACTGATGATTTTTTAAAGATAATCGTGAGGTTGAATTCTACTGTTTCGCTTTTCATTAATAATAATGAGCCCGGGTAAAGACAATTCCCAGCATTACTGAGTTCTGAATCATTGACAAGTTTAAGGTAAGAAGCGTGTACCTCGTGGCAGGCAAACACTACCTTTCCCACTTGGTTTACCGGCATTGCCCTAGAATTATATTCCAACCTCATCCCCTTCGCCAACCAATTCACCATATTCACTCTCCTCTCGGTTACGCGCATTCTCCGAACTCCTGTATCCGTGGCACACGGGGGAAATCCTTCCACGAAAATATGCGCGATTCGTGGTACAACTCGCAGCACCTCGTATCGCAAATTTTCGGAGGATAAATTCACGGAAGAGGGGGATCTACACCCCCGTCACGACACCATTATGCTTTCATGAACATTAAAGCTCTCGTCGAGTAAGTGGATGAGATCAATTTGGCCGAGGTATTCTCCGTGATAAATATTTCATGCGTGTGGGGGATTCTTAATGTTTGAGGATCGACCAAATGTATGTTTCGATAATACCATATATTATGTGGTACCAATCGCGAGATATTTTCACTGGAAAAAAACATGTCTTTTGGCAAAATCATTTACTAGTGGTTAGTAAATATTGTTGGCAAATGAAGTTTTTGTTCTCAGCGAACTGAGGAAATATTGATTTATCGCCGATTTCTGGTCGAATAAATAAAGATAAAAAAAATTGGAGTGAAAAATTCGATAATTCAAAGATGACTGACGCTAAAAGGCAATAGAAAAATGAAAAATCCTCTGGCAATAGCATGTGCTGTTCGGTTCGAGCATCCGCACAGTGGCAAAGTAACGTGACAACAAACTCTTAACGATTCCATACGCGATACTGGTTCCCACGCACCGAAAGAAGTGAGAGGGACGAGAGGGAAATTGAGTAGGCAAAAGAGATAGAGAGAGAGAAAGGTACCAAGAGAGAAATAAAATGCCTCTCGCTTGCACGCGGAAAATCCCATATTGCCGGACGGTGTCAAGTACGTGACCATACTGTAATGCCACGGCATGATAAAACGGTAATATAATACAGTAGCATTTTCACAAATTACACATTCTGCATTTGTCATCATAACTTTTAACTTAAACTACACATCACCCAACTCGACCTGAATACCATATACCACGTATACCAGCAGTTTCACATTGAAATACAAACGGGAATATAAATTGAGTAATACATTCCCTCCCTGAATAGCCAATTATTATCATCTACAAATCTTATTTATTGCCTGAAAAAGTGAATTTTACGGTGTACCATTGGCTTGAGATTATAATCATCAATCGATCGGTGAGCCAATCCCTAATGATCAATTTTTTGCATTACTCATCGATGATAATTCAATGACACAATGCAACGAGTCACGAGATTGAAAAAAAATTGATAAAAAAAAAAAGGCTAAAAATAAATAATTGATGCATCGGGGAGACAATCTGTTGATGCAGGTGCTTTGATGTAGCGCACACACGAGCCATCAGCGATTGAATCAGGTATATAGAATAGAAGTCGGGACCACCCAAGGTCGTCGTGCCAAGTATCTCGGTGTCAATTAATGAGCCTCGATGGGGGATGAGCACAGGGGAAAAGAGAAGCCACTGATCCAGCAGGACGGCTTCTGACTATCCTCCTTCTTAAAGGGACTTGGACTACGGTTTTGTCGCTCGTTTCTCGGTAGCCCCAACCATAATAAATACATAATATGCACATAAAGGAGAGCCGGCGCGATCGAAATGATCAAGCTAAATCGTTTTCACTGAGCAAACACGGTGGGTGGGCAACCAGCATCCTTCTGTATATCCCCCACCCCCTGATGCCCCCCTATCGCTCTTGATTTTTACCATGAATTATGTCCACTGGTTTACAATCATTGCCTAGTGCCACAGACAGTGATAATTAACAGTCCGACTGAGTAAATCCTTAATTAAATCATTTACAATCGAGTTTACATTTTTCAATGGTTTTTTAAAAGGGAGAGAACCGAGGGGGGGATATCGAGGGAGTTGACTGGTTTTGTTTAATGGTAATGGGGATAAATTTTTTTTTTCTTTTTGAGTTTGTGAGGATTTTGAGTATTTCTGGAAATGGGATCCAGATCTGAGGTTTTATGCGCAGATTGGCGAAGGGAGCATTTCATTTGGAGGGATTTGTTGGGGAGAGAATTGGAAATTAGGTGGAAGATGTAGGTTTAAGAGTAGGGAAGGACTTCTGATACTTGATTCAGGTTTTTGGTCATTGTTTAGTAGTTTAATTGGTTGGAGAATGAATCAAGCCTTCGCGACTTTAATCGAGTATTTCGCAGGCTCAAGTTTGTTAGGAATTTTGGAACATAAATAATTTCATCACCACCGACGTACCAAGTGCGCAAAAGTCATCACAAACTGACTCACAATCTCCATCCCCCAAAGCCCAGAATTCCACACCCCAAAAAAAAAATCAAGATTCACCACTTCACTCGCAACATCTCAGTCCGTTTTTGGGTGAGACAATATTTGTCGAAGAAACCAGGGGCATTCTAACCGTGAGTCAAGTTTTTTGCATTAGCACCAAAAGGACCACCGCCGAGATGAAGCTGTCCGTTGGTCAAAACTCTGACCATCAGCTCTTTCAAATGGCTCTCACCGTTTTCAACTTCAGTCCTCCATGCCCTCTTTCACCCATCCAATAAATAAATAAATAAATAACAAAAAAAAAGGAGCCCTAGTCCCGCGACCCCTGGCCAAAATCACCGGGGGTTGTAGAAAAACAATCGAATCGAATCACTTCGATAACTACAGATATACCCTTATGGATGATTTCTACGAAACAAGAGTTTATGGAAAAGGTTCCTTCGCGGTAGACTAATCTGCATTTTTTGCATGTGAACCCATCGCGAATCGATTGAAAGGGAGACCCAACATCCTCTCTGGTCAAGATCCCTTTCTCGGTTCTGAATTTCTGACGAGTGTCGATGAGAGAGAGCGTTCGATACCACTGGCCAGTCGCCAGATCGAGAAACTTTGCAGATGCATTGGAAAATAAACGAATCCTGGGGGAGAGATGAGGGAGAGAGAGAGAGAGAGAGTGGGTGGGGGACGGAGAGGGGAGGATGGGGGGGGTGGCGAGAGGGGGCTTTTTACGTGGTGCCAGTAATTTACAGTCGCGTCGGTCATTCGGCCATACATGGGTTGCCGGCGATTCGCCTTCCAACGATCGGTGGCCTCTCTCAGCGATACGTCAAATTAGCCCATATATCATGCCCTTCTTTACCGCTCCATTCGATTTATGTCCCATGCGCATAATATAAATTATTTAATAAGTTTTGATGGCCGCTATCTTTTACTTCCATGCATAATTGCAAAAAATTGGATCGTTGATATTAATGTTGGAGTTCTAATCGTTGGATTTTTTTATTTATTTTGCAGAACCCAAGTCTCTGGCTTGTGAAATGCAGGGAATCGCCAACTTCAGCGGAGTCTTCAGAATGGTGAGTCGAAAAATGATTTGTAATTACGATATATTGATGACACGTGTCTGGTCCTGTCAAGAGGACCTCGCCCCCCTCGGGATTTTTAGGTTGCCCTCATTGCCCATCCGATTTTCTCATCCTTCACGTACGAAGGCTCGGGCAATCCGAGTACATGGGCTACGTTGCCTTGTCTCATTTTACTTTACAAGGGGATTTAAAAATCGAGAAAACCTTTGACAGCTATTGCACACCCGGGGACTGTGTTTTCTCTCCACCCTCACCTAGAGCCATTGGCAAGCGAATTAAATGTAAAATATACAATCAATAAGCTGGAGGCGTCTGTCTACTCACCTACTGTCTATCTCCGTCGCCTCGACGCTACGGGATTCTGACTCCCGACGTGATATGTCGCTAATTAAAATCCGTTACGGCACCTTTCGCACACCCAAACGTCTCAGGGATAGAGCGGGAAGATTGAACGATGGAAATTGAGAAGAAAAAAAAAGGGAAACGGGATTACGGCAAATTGTGAAAAATCATTCGAGGACGAGTTGCATTATGGGGAAATTATTTTCACGAGGGGTAAAGGGATTATCAGACGCCCACGATGTGGAGGCGATAGTTAGTGTGGGAGGTGGTTTATTACTATTTGCATCCGGATGCTCAAGAGTCGATTGATTGTAGGATTCATCGCGGTCTTCAGGTTAATCTTTCGAACTCAGGAGATAGAGTTTATTGTTTATTGGAGCGAGCAATCGAGAGATTCGCGAGTGCCGTGGGAATTTTCTTTCTTCTGTAACTTCAAATTTTCAATTCCAACGATTTCCGTTCTCCCCCCCTCGGATCTTTACAAAATCGGAACTCATAACCCGGAAGTCATTAGATGATCTCGAATTACCATTAATAAACCGCGGCATAAATTAGTCAACATGAAAAACAATATCGGAATGCACTGAATTCCAAAGTCTTCCTCCTCATTGAAACTCGCTGTTGGCATCCGGCAATTACCCGACCGATACGTAATTGAAAAAAAAAATATATCACAAAACGCGACTGATTTTAATAATAATAGATACCGCCGAGTGTCATGTTAATTTCTCAACCTCATTACCATATTATGAACTCCCCGTTAAATTCCCGCGAAAAAAAAATACTACAACTCCGGAAGCGGAAATGACGGGAATTGAAATAAACGAACAATTCATTTATTAAAATTAACAAGTCTCGTTCATGCGTGGAGTTAAGGATTGTAGACGATTTGTCTTGGGCACGTGAGTTTTGATATCCCGCTGTGATCCCAGCCCCCCCATCGACACCTCACATTGCCACCGGGTAGATTTGCCCCACAAGATAAACAAATTAAACCGGGGATCAGTATTTTCATCTTCCAAGTGTATTACGTTATAATTTTATTATATTCGTAATATCGATGATCCGTTAGACGTTGATATCTCACGCCATTCCGAATATTGTGATACCACCTACGGGTGTCGGTGATGTTTTATTCATTCGGGATGTATTTTCTCATTAAATGCTAATTCTCAGGGAGTTGTTGACAAAAGAGATGATATCAAATTCACGCCGACTAGGGAACTAGAACTCTTTTTGAATTTAGGAATCATTATTTTTTCCTCCAATTTGAAGTCTCCGGACGACGCGTTGACTGTCTGTGAAATTTCAATTTTTCAAAGAATTTAAACAAATAGAAAAAATATTGAAGCATCCGTTAATGTCCTCTGAGGACGGCCTCTGAAGACAATAACCGAAGTTATTAAAATTTTTTTATCCCCTGTTTTGAGATACTTCCCAGACTAAATTTCTGTGAACGATACACTGGCGACTGAAGTGGGACCACACAGCATGTCACCGCTGAATTCCAAAACTCTGTCCGCCACGTTCTATGATGTATCTGGCGGTCTCATTCGGGGGGTTAAAAAAATTTATGATTTTTTCACTTCCACGAAGAGATTCAATAAATGCGAGACAATGTACCACATTGATTTCTCAGAAAGAGCCTAATAAACGACACACGGCGAAAAGTTTCTGCAAAGAACTGGCAATTTTTTCTATATTTTCTACATTAAATAAATCGTGAATTATAATTTATTCAACTCGTCCCATTTTTTACTCCGAACTTTTCGCCGTGGGGCAAATCTTAATGGCGCGGTGTAAAATGACAATTTCTCGGTGCATTACTGCCCCTCCCCCGAAAGGGGTACGAGGGGGAAATAATGTACGTGTACATATTTTACGGGGATTTTTGCATATAATTTAACGGCGCGTTAGAGGCAGGATTTAAATACGGCAGCTGGATAAACAGGCTCGTGCCCGTGTTACCGTGATAAAGCGAATGGTAGAGGAGAAAAAGAGATTTTTGGGAAGGAGTGGGTGAGGAAGAGAGAGATAACCCGGACAAAATCCGGGCAGACCCCCCTGGGAGTGAAAAAAGGAGATGGAGCTTAGAAGATGGTCCACCCGATGGGGGCCTAACGCGTGCGGGAATCAGTGTTTGCACAGCGTGCGATACATGTGTCCATACATGAATCGTTAGAGAACAGTAGGCGAGATCTGACGATTCACTCAATGTTTCGACGATCGGTATCGTCCCGTGGGGATTGGCTACCTGTATTCACCATTTTTTTTATCAATTTTTCGCTCGCTGCCAAATGCAGAAATAATAGAGATAACTAATCCAACTCAAAATGGGACTCAAACGATCACAAGAAAAAATATTATGCCTGAAAAAATGATTGATTTCAAATATTCCTAAAACATTTTAACGACACACACATTATTTCGAAGCAATGCAAGAAAAAAATTAGAAGAAATGCACCTTTGGTACCTCCCGTAGAGAAAATAATTGATATTATAGTTTTTTTTGTATACATTTTTCGATAGCAGTGAAGAATTGATAAAGAGAATTAGATTGATTGGTTTAGAATTCAGGGAGCCTATGGAAAATTGAAAGGCTCGTTTGATTCAGCCAATTCCCATGATAAGGAGACGAATTAAATCCCCTAGAGACAAAGGTATGTGTGCGTTATATGGTCGAGACATGGTACATATATCGGAACAGTGGGCACGAATGGTAACATGCCAAAATTTGGTGGAAAGTCAAAGGAGAATCTCATTGACGTTCCCCATGGGGGTGAAAATCGGGTACAGATATACAGTTGGACTGGCCCCTGGTATCCGGTTGGGATATGTACACGCGTCGCACGTACGTATGTACCACGTCCTTCTTGCTTTGATTTATGTCCTTATAAATGACGTCACGCGGAACATTTTAGCCGGGGGTATTGAGCTTTTGGTGAAGACCCCTTGTGTGCACAAAGGATCCCACCGTCATATTATACCGAGTGTAGCGTATATAAATGACCGAAAATTGACGACTTCTGTTTGTCATCGCGCAAATATTCTATTGTCATTAAGGATGTGAATATATCAAAAATAAATGTTTTCATCATGGAAATATTCTGTCTAAAAATAATAAATCGTAAATTCCATACTATATCAATACATCGATATATCGATATATCGATATATATCAAGATTAAAGGGCTTTTTAAAATATAAAGAGACGTATACACTTTTTTGTGCGTGAGCCTTCAATATCGCCACGTCAAAATGATTGATACCTTCACATCCGTCCAATCTTGTCACCCATTCCCCAGGTGAATTTGATTTCCATCGACAGGGCATATAACCATTGTACAGACACAGCAGTTACCCGGGTACATTTTGGGGGTACGTCAGCCAGGGTTGCCAGATCGCGTAATGAAATATGCGTGACGAGAGGTCCCGCGAGCCCTCGAGAATTTCCACCTCTACACCGCGAACACTGTCACACTCATATGGCATGTGTGTTTCACTACTCGAATGCAATCCAAAGGGTAGGGGGTGGTTGGGCTAAAGGGGGATAACCGTGTATCTCTCTTGCGAGACAGACTCTTCCGGGGGAGGAAAAGGGTGCCGGGGCGTTATATTATTCAATTATGTCATTCCAGTTATACGCATCCAGCCGACGACCCTCGTCGTTACGGGACTGGCTTCCGTTATATCGCATAACCTAGCTGTGGGGGTGACTGCCATTATCAAATTGTAGGGAGTCGATTAATTCGAGGAGGTGGATGGTTATCAGAAGGTGATGGTCCCCAGGGAGATTTTCGAATTAGGATGATTGCCCGCGTGGAAATCAATATATGACGTATATTACGCGTGAAAAACCCATCAGTGGGAGATTGATTATGATATAGTGGATAGGGGCTGCCCGAAAATATATCATTTCTGATTTCAAGACATTTTGCGTTTATCAGTAAATTTCCAAGTCGAGTGAAATAATTCTCAAGTCTTATAAATAATCAAAAAAATATTCTCCCACCCAAAATCATTAATTTTATCAAGTCCTGGGTAACTTAATCCACCTCCAGCTCGCCTAGAATATGTTTATTCGAATGGATTTTCCAAATTGTCCAATACTCAATTCAATACTGCAAGGAGGAATGAATATAACACCCTCCTTCCGTCTCTCCTTCCGGTTCAATATAATACCCAGTAATTCTCCGGGAGGAAGGAAGGGCACAACAGAGGGACGAGGGGGTTGGGGTGGATAAAACGATTCTATGGATGTCGTTGGTTACGCAGACACAGCAAGAAGGGTATATCTCCCCCGCCCCCTCTCCCCTGTACACAGAGGACACTTCGAACCCCTAAAATAACGACGAATACGTTTTGACAATTTCATTCCGATTATTTCGTCGCGGGCGAAACGGCAGCTGGTGCCCATAGAATGTACTCACCGACACCCACTATTTTTGCACCCTCTCGAGTCGACTCCATTCGAATTGATTTATTTAACTTCGATGACATAAACTGCCGTTATTTTAATACTCCAGAAATTAAAAGAGATATCCAGAAAAAAAAAACAAAAATACAGAAAGCGCGTGAATAATTTAGATAAATTAAAGCATTTTGGTTGACAGGTTCCAAATCAGGGAAATCAATAATTATGAAAATAA